GCCCCCCGCCCCCGGGACCTCGCAGCCACCCCGCCGCTGCGCAAAGATATCGCCGTGCCCCGCTCTCCGGCCCCCTTTCTTTTCCGGCTCCGCGCCGCATGCACCCTGGGCTGGCCCCGAGCTCACCGTGCTCCCCGCTCTCCCTCCTGCCCCCCCAACTCCTTGCCCGGACCACTCCACGGTCTTGACGGTGTGCTGCCCGACCGACCCTACTTTACTGACAATGTCTCTCTCCCTTCCACCCTACCTACCTCTCACCTGACCGCACTGGTCAACGCTGTGAGTGTGCATCCTCTCATCTTATACTTTGATCTGGACCGACCCCTTACACAGCCCTAAAGGTCATGGAAAATTGAAACCCCGCCTGTATGTCTTCTGCATATCACTCTTCCACTTAATTTTAAAATTCACAGAACTTTGGCCTCGGCAGCGTCCGCCCCCACCCTCTGCCCTCACCCCCCGCAGAGTGCAGCCGAGACAGCGGGCGGCTCCGGCCTCCGGCCAGCTCGGAATTAGTTTATGTCTTTTAAAGTGTGCGTGATTTACAAGGGTCGCCACCCAACGGATTCCTCCTCTCTTGTTTTCTAGCTGAGTGCATAACAAATAAAATAAATTTGAGTCTCGGGGAGGAGAGGAGAAGTTGGAACTCTTTCATTCTTTTCTCTCGCAAGTTGATGATTTTTTTTATATATGTATCTCCATTTCTTTTGTTCTCTGACTTTCTTTCGCTTTCTCTTTTCGCTTACGTCCCGCCACCTCTCTCTGTTTTGCTTTTTTTTTCGCAGACCGCAACAGCAGCAAAGCAGAAACCTCAGCCAAAGTTTCAGCGGGATCTAGTCCGCTGATTCTGTGCGCGCGCGAGTTTCGCCGCCTCTGAAAATGGCTGCGCCGGCGCCGACGACGCTAGGCGGCTGCGACTCCCCCACCCCCGCACATTCACCACACATTCGGTCTGCCTCGGCCCCCCGACGTACTGCATCGTCCGGCTCCGCCCAAACACATCCAACAGCCGCGTTATAGATGAGCCCAGTAGAGACCAGCGGAGGAGCAGAGGATCCCGTCTCTGGACGCGATACGAACGGGCAGCGCAGCGGCGACGGACGGAGACCAGCGGGGGTGGCCGCCAGCGACCCACAACCAGACCCGCCCAGCGAGCGTGCGGACATTGTTGCGCCGCCGCTGAGGCAGCCCCCCCCCCCCCCCCAATCCTTTCCCGCCATCCCTTCTTTCCCTTGACTTTGTTGTGCGCTACGTATTTCATCTCACAACGACGCCAGCGTGCGGAAGAAAGGGAGGAGGACGAGGGGGGGGGGGCGAAGGCAGCAGCTCAGCGACACGGAGAGGGACGACGACGACGGTAGAGCAGCACTAGCAGCACCAGCAGCACCAGCGGAGGGAAAGAATCCTTTTCACCTTTCCGCGCCGAGCAGCGAGGGGAGCGCGGCGTGTCGTCGTGTCGTCGTTACTGAGGACGAGGTTACAGCAACGTCGCGTCGCCCACACGACTCTCTCTGTGCTCTCTCTCTCTCTCTCTCTCTCTCTCTCTCCTGCGCACGTGCGGTGGAGCCTCTCCAGCTAAAGCCTCTGCCTTGGGCTGCCACGCTACGCCACCCCTAGGCGCGGCCTGGCCTGGCTCGGCCGGAGGATCTCGTCTTCTCTTTTCCGGGCGGCTAACAATCCCCGACCTAGCAGAAACGGGAACGTCCCTGGTTGTATAACGTCCAATCCCGATCCCCCTCTGCCCTTTCCCCGCGTCTCTTTCATCCCCCTCTCTCTATTCTCCTCTCGCCGTCCCAAATGCCCATCGTTGCAGCGTGCACCGCTTACGGGGACAGGTGGTGCCAAGGAGTGGGGGACAGGGGGGCTTCGGGCTTAGAGGGTCGGCGGGCACACGCAGGCAGCATGGTGGTGCGAGGAGGCTTACGAGAGCACGGGATGGGGCCTCGCGTGTAATTTCGAGAGGACCGGAATATATACTATATATAAGATCCACCTACCCCGCCAGTGCTTCGTCTCTCTACCCACCCTACCCCCTGCTGTCCGGAGGGGGCCACCACTTCGATTTAGGATGTACACAGGATTAGGTGATTACAGGGATTACACGTGAATTTTTTGTGATGACCCATGAGGTTTGTTGAGTGTCTGGGCCTAAATACATTAAATTTGGGTAAGTAAGTGAAATTTAGTGATAATATCTAAAATTTAGTTAATTGTTACACGAATAACATGGGGATTCCACTTCCATCTCTAGACTACACAGGATTACGCGAGTGGTGGCCTCCTCGTGCTGTCCACGCACTGAAACTGGATCTATGATACTTTTATCACAAAAGTTTGCGATAACTCAATTTTGCGATTCCTCTGATTTATCGCTTTTATAGACATGATAACTTTTTATCGCAAAAGAACATGCAATGAAAAGTGTAAGGGCAAGTTATCACAAATATAATATGATAACTTTTCATCGCAAAGTATAGTGTATAACGGGAGCTAGTATTTACGTTTATCACAAAAACTTGCGATGAAAAATTATCACATTATTTTTGTGATAACTTTCCCTTATACTTTT